TTAAATATTTTTCTCAATTCTCTTGCATATCGACATGCATGTGTTATACCTTGTCCAAATTGAGGATTAAATGTACACATTGCATCACCTAATAAAATATAGTTTTTAGGCCATTTTTTGCCTAATAGTTCGACATATTTTCGATCGTCAATTGCCCGACGATATGGAATTAATGGACTACATACTCTAGTTGATTTTAATATTGAATTAATTTCACTATCTAAATGCTCTTTTGTCCATTCTAATAAATTTTCATACGAATCATTTGGTGGATACTCTGAATTGACGCAAGAAAATCCAATAGCCGATAAGGTTCCTAGGGAATTTTCATCATTTGTTTTTATTGTACGTATTGGAGTTATACCATATGCTGTATTATTTTCGGGTGTATTACCGTTGTTGATTAGTATAGACTTTGAATCCAATGAAGGATCTCCTGTTTTAAATCTTTCACCTACAAATGTAACATAACCAGCACCAAAATGTATTTGTACAGTTGGTACAATTAAATTGAAACTTTCTTTTAACCATTTTGTTGATGATGTATTTCGACCAGTACAATCAACAATAAAATTACCATAAATATCTAATGATGGCGAACCAACATTATGTTTAAATCGATATTTTACACCATGAACAGTATTAGCTGATTGATCAACAATTAATTGAATTGCTCTTGCATTACATATCCATTCAATTTGTTTTCCATATTGTAAACACAATTCTTTTCTCAATGCTATTTCTAATGTAAAACGGTCAATACCTATGTATTCAAAATCTTCAGTTAAATTTTGATTTAATAAAAAACCATTAATAACAAATCTTGTTTCGTTTTTTACTGAATATGGACGAATATCATATTCATTTATTAATTTATCTTTTAAATGAGGAAATAAGTTGTATAATATATTAAATCCTTCACGTGCGACTAAATGTACTTGATAAATTTGACTAACACCCAAACGTCCTATTGATGTTGGACTTTCAAGACGACAACGATAATCTAATATTTCGTTGGGTGTAGATTTGTTGAAAGTATCACTTAATACATCATCTGATTCTATGATTGTTATTCGTTTGAAATATTTTGATAAATAAGCAGCAGTAACTATTCCTCCAAAACTGCCTCCGATAATTATAGCATGATCGTATTCAGGAATATTTGAAGCAAATTGAACTTTTTTTCTATATTTCTTTTGAACAATGTAAGAACTTATTACTGAAATGATTGGTATCATGAGATAAAATATAATGCGGTTCTCCAATAATAGATTCAAAATAAAATTGTATATATTAAGAAACATGACACGGTTGCCAAAAACAACGAAGTAATGGTTAAAATGGTTTTTGAATAATGGTTTGTAATGCAAATTAACTATAGTGAGATAAAATAATGCCAGTACTCATGTGTTTTATATATGCATGTATGACGAAATTATTTGACTAACAGAAAGATAGATCATCACACGTAACCTAATTACCTTTTTATTAACGATTACGGATATATGCGTCAGGAGCTATAATTACATTAGTTTTGAGGCCTGCTTATACTCCTGACGCATACACGCATACGTCATCGATAAAGAAAAAATAAACCTTGCCTTGCTCATGTGTATGCATCAGAGACGTACACCGTGCGTGCGATCAGTCCGTATCATAAGGACAAATACGACTCTTACGTGTCCGAGCTCTTCACTAGAGAAATTTTGAGAGTGGGACGGATGCGCGATAGTGGTTTGATCATGTTAACATTTATGATTTCTTGAAATTGAAACTAGAAAAGCTGAGTTAATTTTAATGTTGTGCAGCAATACTTATGTCCTTTTCGTGTTAAACTAGGAATGACAAATAATCAGATATCGACTTAGTACTCATTCTGGAGAAAAAGTTGTCATTTTTAAATTCTACTACTAATGGCTTTGAATTGTCGAAAAGTCTCAGTTTTATAATACACATTTCAGACTACATATATATGTATTTTTGTTTTTTTTGCTACTCGTTTCGTCATACATACCAAATAAATTGCTTACTTCGACTTATAATCTCTCTAGTAGTATTTATTATTCTATTCAGATGTAATTCTAGCATTCTTCACTAGCACTATCCTGTATCTCTTACTTTGATTTCTAGTTAATTGGGAAATGTATTGTTTGATAAATTATGCCAATAAAAATATTTTAAATTTGAATTTGTCTAAATTCAAGCGTAGAAATAAATAATACGAAACGGACATCATAACCAGTAATAGGATGTTCCAAAAGTCACCTACCGAAAAGAAATGTGTATATTTTCGACGTAAAGAATATATCCATTTATAGAGAATACTTGATAAAGAAATTTTATAATGAATGAATTATAAAAGTATAAGAAGTACTCAAAAAACTTTTTGATAGATCCCATTTTGTAAAGGTTCTTTTGTTGATCATTTGCATTAAAAAATTTTCTATTTCCACCGACACATGATAATGTTGAGGTCACAATACTAGAACGTTGAATTGAACTGAAGCACCATAGTAATTCCACGTTTTCTAGTATTTTAATCGTAGCATAATCATATTTTGGTCAGAATAGAAAACGTTATTTTATGAAACTGATCAGTGAAAAAACTTCAACAAAATGAGATACGTCAAGCAGGTTTTGAATAAATTTCATGTTTTTACGGCGAGCTAATTAGAGAAAAAAGTATCCGAAAAAAATACTAAATTCTGTATTGCAGTAGGCCGTCCTAGATTTCAAATAACGGGTGAGTCGAAAGTTTTGAGACAAAATCTTTGGTCATTTTTGGTCAGCTTGAAAGTATTTTCCGACGAATCAAAAGTTATGATTTACAACCTGAATTTTTGTTCGAGAGTAGAGAAAGAACCTTTGAAAAGCCCAAAAAAGAATCAGCTTGTACGGAAAATTTTGTGGAACTCACATATATTTTCGAAGAAAATAGTGAATATAAGTTTTAAGTTCAAGTTTTTGCGGCTTACCCCTCCCCTTACAGACACATCGTAACGTAGAGCCCCATTAGAATCCACAAAAATGTTCTGCAAAATTCCTTTTTTTTCAAGAGAGCAGATAGTGCGTAGAGTCATAACAACAAAAAAAGAGAAATGAGAAACTTAAAAAAAAATATTCAGCGACAATAAGAACCGACGACAATGTGATCGACCAAGCTGGAAGTGTTGCGTTTGCAATTTTTCTCATCCGATTTAGGTTATGGATACTGGTGAATGCTACATGAAAATAAGTGATCAGTAAAGTAGGATTCGAAATGTGATGCATAAAAAATGTAAATAGGCTTCAAACATGAATAATATGTGCGCCGATTACAAGGGCACGCGCTTTGTACGTTGTCTATGTTCTCAATGTTGATCAACAATAAAATTAATACTGCAGTAGTGACGAAACACCACTATCCATCCATCCTTTTGTTTTTCGTTACAATATGCAACAAACCAACTTTGTCGATAAGGACGGCAACTATTTAAACACAACGCTACGTCAATTATTTTATCTCGGTGATGACAAACAATACATTTTATTCATGCTTTAGATAACCTATCGCTCCGTTCTCTTCATTACTTGCATTACTGACTGCTTTCTTTACTAAGAGAAAAAGAGATTGCTTTTAGTATGCAATAGCCATTAGGAGCTGTTTGATGGAAAGCTTCGACCATTTATATTTTCTCGAGAGAGATAGCTGATTCTATTTTTTTAAAGTGAACGTAAGTGCTGAGAGAAAGTTAGAATGTGGAGATGAAAATCTTCTTTTGATTTAATCCTTGTCTCACCAAAACTGAGAGTAACGAGAGATAAAGTCTCAAGTGGGTATCATTTGGCTTCTGTAATATCTAAAGTGTTGTCGACGCCAAACATATTACGAATCGAGGATTTCATGTTACATTAGCAATTAGTGAGTAATCGTTAGCTGAGCTATCTAAAGAAAACGATTCACTAGTAATGAATGTATAACACTCGAGCCAGATCATAGTTTATGTTCGTGTTGACTCTATCCCTTATGACTCATTGACAGCATTCAAACGCGAGATAAGAGTTATTGTTCATATGTAGGTTTATTCCTCCTGTTTTCTTACACTCAAGTAATTCAATCGGATTTTTTCATGTTGAATTGGATTCGCTACACAAAATCTATTTGATTATTTATTTGTAGAGAAAGAAATAATATAAAAAATGCTTCCCAAACCAGAAAATAAAAAGGGTAAGAACTAACAACTTTTCGTACACTTTTGAAAAAGTTTGTTTTTTGTATTTGGTAATATGAATTAATATATTTCACATGGTGAATTTTACTGAATAATTGAAATGCGAGTATTTTCTTTCATTAGACAAACCATGGTTCAGATGCCATTTCCATGACATTGAACAAACATCCGTCAAGAAACCTGATGAATTTGGAATCAATCAGAAAGATTTTGCTCCCTTATCAAATATCAAAGATGGTATAGTGGATCGAATCCAAGGTTCAATGTTTGGCTTGGCGGTGGGTGATGCTCTGGGTGCTCATGTTGAATTTAGGCCTCACGATTATATGGTTGCTAACCCAGTAAAGGATCTAGTAGGAGGAGGAACATGGGGTCTACAGCGGGGACAGGTAGGAAATCTAATAAAAGGAAATGTAGAATAGTTTCCTGTTTTAGTTCACCGATGATACTTCTATGGCACTTTGTTTGGCTATTTCACTTATTGCTTGTCAAGACTTCGTTCCATATGATCAACTGGTTCGTTATAAGTGGTGGTATCGACATGGTTACATGTCATCGACTGGTCATTGTTTCGACATTGGCGCAGCAACTAAAGATTCCATCCTAGAATTTGAAAGGCGTCAAAAGAAGTTCGTTCAAGCCCGTGGTATTCCGACAGATCAAATAGACTTTTTGACTGGTCGTAATCTTCAAGAGTTCGATGTCGAATGCAGTAAGGAAGGTGTGGCTGGCAATGCACCCTTGATGCGTTTGGCATCCGTGCCGATCTTCTTCTTTCGCAATCCTCAAATGGCTGTTGAATACTCTGGCATGAGCGGCAAGATCACTCATGGGGATGTGAAAGTTTATGATGCATGTTGTTACTATGGAGCTCTCATTGTAGCTGCCCTTGGTGGTGCAAAGAAAAATGAATTAACCAGTCAAACATTCTACGATGATCACTTGGCATGGTTCGGTAATCGAGCTCTTCATCCTGACGTTATGGCGATAGCTCGAGGTTCTTACCAAAGAAAAGGTGGCTACGACGATGGAATTCGAGGAAAGGGATATATTATCAATGCTCTAGAAGCAGCTTTATGGGCATTTTGGAGTGATGAGGGTTCATTTGAGAAAGGTGCACTTAATGCAGTGAATCTAGGCGATGATACAGACACAACAGCAGCTATCTATGGTCAATTAGCTGGTGCTCATTATGGATACAAAAAAATACCAGAAAAATGGTTGAAGTATATTTATGCTAAAGATTTCATTCATTGCGTAAGCAGCTGGATCGTTTACGAAGGGGAAAAATGGTTTCGAAAACAAACGATTTCAAGTTCTAGTAGGCTAATAAATTCTTCTAATTGCAAGCCGTTAAATGTCGATTCGAATGTCTGTAATGGTCCGATGAAAGACTTAGTTGTAAACATTCAAAGTTCGTCGGTTGGAAATATAAACTCAGGTACGATTCGCCGTAAAGGAATTAATACTTTCGGTTCTATAGGATTTCTTTATGACGGATGGCAAGATCGTATTATTGAATCGATGGGCATCAATTTGAATATGAAGGAAGGTTCCTTGTATCCGTCGATAAAGTGTGTGATAAAAAGTGGTGACAAACTTGAAAATCGAAACATCCTTCAACTCATTGATTTTCCCGTTGACCTTGGATTGAGTGTATTATCGAATTTAGTTGTAGCTGAGGGTATTGCTTCAGTGATCAATTATCCATTTGAAATCGATGAATACACTCGCATCTTCTGTTATTCCTGTCTGATTCGAAATGAAGCGTTCATTCATGAGAAAAATATTCCAAAAGAATCATGTCTGACTCTAGCTACACACGTCATCACTGCAATAGATTTGGGTATCGATGTCGTGGTCCTGTTGAGATTACCATTTGATGATCCACAGACAATCGATAGCAGTCTCAATCAAATACGTCAGTGCTTAGAACAAGAAACAAAATTGACAGTTAATGATTATGCAATTAGCCGAATTCTTTCTACACACGTATATTCGAGCTTACCTCAGTTAGTCAAACAGACAACAATAACTAGTGTCTACAAGGAAATCTGTAGAATCAAAAGTATTCCTGCCGAGTATAAACCATGTAATTATATTCTACACCCCATCAACATGTTTTGTCCGGATCTCGTTCAACAACAGAACATAAAATTTATTCCCATTGAACCGAGAATTGCAGTAAAGATTGAAGAACGGTGTCTTCAATTTTTGTCTTTGAAGAAAATATGGACTAGATTTCAAAACAACTCGAAGTTCAATTTTTGGCAAATTGATCTTAAAGAACATTTGGACACGATACGAAATAGAGTTTTAATATTGATGAATCAATACGAAGCAGAAAATGAACAAATCCGAACTTTAATTCCGCTCATTCGGCAAGGCAAAGAACCACAAGAGTCTATCGAACATCGCCTACATCTTGAGCAAGAAGAGACGAAGTTGAAGAGCAACATCGATGATTTAAAGCATGATATAAGAAAATTGGAAGAGAAATATAATTCTATCCAAGACTTCAACGAAAAGAGGTTTCATCATTGGAGCATCGAGAAGCATGGTAGTAATCAAGGCGACAGTAAAAATGAAATTCAGCGCAAATTAGTTCAAGACAACCAATGGCAATGTATCTCGAGTTCCAACAACATTTCTCCTGTTATACTTTCAACCAAGAACGGGATCAATATTGTTCTCATAGGTAAATCAGGAGTGGGAAAATCGACACTAATTAACACAATCGCCAACTGTCTTATGTTCAAAACATTTTCAGAAGCTCGATCATGTAAATCAACATTGCGTGTACTTGTTTCATTCATCTTTTCATTAAAAAATGATGTAGAATCACATTTTATTCAACTTGGTAAGAAGGATCCAAATGAAGATCATGATCATCATGGTCAATCCACAACTCAACGTTGCAAATCGCACATATTGGATCTTGAAAATGGACAAAAATTATGTATCATTGATACTCCTGGCTTTTCTGATGTATGTGATCAAACTCATAACGACAAAACGATGCAACACATACTTTCATACATCACGAACTTAACACATTTGAATGCTGTCTGTATTCTAATGGAACCAGGTGACTCAGAACTTACTGGCTATAGACAATTTTTGATATCATTTCTCGATCTCATGAAATTCGAAGCTCATAACAAATTAGTTTTTTGTTTCACCAAGTATCTTTCCAGTTCAATGAGTCATGATCAAACAATTACTCCAGTTCAAAATCTGTTGCAATTACTTTCTATTGACAATATCTCATTGAAATCCAAGTGTATATTTTACTTTGACAGTACATTCTTTCTTCATTTGGCTACAATACGTTGGTTTGATCGTCAAGAGGCAGAATGTGACAAGAGCTGGTCGATTTCAAAGAGAGAATTAGAGCTACTTTTGCAATATGTAAGTCACACCGATTATCCATATCCGTTAGATCAAAGACTACAAAGAAAAGAAAATATATGTCATGAAATCCTGCAGATGATTCGTCCTATAATGGAAGCAATGCGAAATATTCTTCGAAATAAGATAATATATAAATCGGAACTTCCATATAAATTTATCGAACTGCGTCCAAAATCTTTACAACTGCCATCTACTATCGGCTGTTCATGTCAGCGTCTCATTTTACGATGTGGCGACATTTGGATTACTTGTGATTCTTTACTCGAATACCAAAATCAATCTGCACATTGTTCATGCAATTTAGGTCAGCACATTCAGATAGATTATCAACTTGATTATGAGTTAGTCGATGCGGTGAATTATCAACAGCATGATTTGGCTTCTTGGAAAACAAAATTATCTATTGCAAGCTTGTACTTAGCTAATTTCCTCATAAATGTTGCTCATCATTCCAACGATGATCCATTTCTTGCCAGTCTCAATCGAATGATCAATGAAGAATGTTATATTTGTGACAATAAAACTGATCATAAGCTCAATTGCAAGTTACATAAGAAACTTCTCAAACTTAGAGATTACCATGAACGAGGTACGAGAAACATGCTACAGAAACATGCAAACAATGATTTGATGATAATTAACGATTACATCAAACATGTTCAAGACATTCCCATGGTACACACACAAATGAATGTTGCTAGAAAGGCACAAGCAACTTATTAAATCAGTAAATACTAGAAATCTAATATAACCGATCGAATTACTCAGTATTTAATCGAAATTTTTATGCTTAACAGCGTAAATTTCTTCTTTGTATTTGTTAATAATTTTCACCATCGTATGCCTAATGTATATTACACTTTATCATTCTAATAAACAATGTAATAAGATTAGGTAGCAGAGGTTCAACCAGACGATCTTTTTGCAGAATCGTTTGCCTTTTTAAAGCCATATGTCATGAGAATAATAAACTATGATTAATTATTAAAATTTTTAGAGAAAGTTCAACAAGTCAATGAAACCAATTTAGATGACACTAGTAAAAATTCTCAAATGTGAACATTCAAAGAAAAAGATATTTAAAACTATTCGCTACACAGATGTGAGTGTGGGTGTAGGTGCTGCTGCTGGTTTTAGTATGGTTATCTATCACCCAGAACTGAATTAAAATAAAAAAAAAAGTTAAAGTAGAATAATTTATTCAAGAATTCTTAAAAGAAGATCGAAAAAAATATCATAATAACTAGACGAGGAAAACTAAAACTGGAATAAATTTTATTCTATTTTTTTTTCATTAAACATCTCAATACTAAGCAGGGAAGTAAATCACAGAAAGACAACATATTTCTTATAAAAAAAAACTCGATAAATATCATTAGAAATAAATCGAAAAGAAAAACTAAGTAAAACTAATTCATTTGACTTCTCTTAAAAATGCGCAAGAAAATTATTGTCGAAACTAACACACCAAATAAAACAAACTTATTCAATTGTCTACACTATGATGCTCAAAAAGTATCGAGATAAGTTAATGTAGAATAGAAAACTAAAGTTATTTGTATGATTATGATTCCCTCATAGAACAAAGAAGAACTCTTAAAGAAACTAGCTAAAGAAAAAAAAACTTTTCTAATTACATTTTCATAATAGAATGCTCAAGCACTCTGAGCATGTGAGTGTAGGTATGGTTGCAGATCTACTCTTCACCCACACCTTCGTCGATGAATTTGTATTGTTCTTAATTATTGAAAAAGACTTATCGTTCTTCTTTCGCTAAGAAGTGAAAACAATTATTACACAAATTCTCAAACTTTTTATATTCTCGATTATTAACCGAACCTTGTTTAATTTTTCATTCAAGAAGAAATAAAACTACTTGTACTCTTTGCCCTTTATATTATGTTTATAATTAAAACTAAACAAATGAAGAAAATAAAATGATTGAAGAATCATTTTCGAAAGAAAAATCCCGTACTCAAAGGGATAAATTTTAGAATTCTTCTTAAAAAGCAAAATCATTTTGATCAACCATTCAAATATCATTATAAGGTGAACGAGAGAAATATATACAATTATCAATGTAATTTAAAAGTTGAATTGCACATCTTCGTCCTGTTAATAATGCATTGGCTACTACCTACAATAACACGGCTCATCTACATCGTTCACAAGGAAATTATTCTTTAACAATTAAATATTATCAGAAAACATTTGATATTAAAACAAAATTTTTCAACAAATTATTCGACTTTAAGGGTGTGGGTTCAATCACTAAATTTTTACTGATGTTATCAATGAAAACATATTACACTAACTAGATGCGTAGAGTAATATTTGGATGAATTCTGTTCAAGTCCATTTTTATTATTTGAATGTCATCGGCGGAGAACATATTATTGTTGTTGTAGAGATTTTGGAGATTGTTCAATCTGAGAATATTTCTAGGCAAATCAACCAGTTCGTTGTGAGATAAATCAAGATATTGCAGCCAATGAAGTTTGTCGATAGTGGTCGGGATGAATGAGAGTGTTATATTGCGGAGTTCAACAACTGCGAGATTAGTGAAAGAACACAACGCCATTACATCTTTCAGAGGATTATTGTTCATACGAAGGATCGAAAGACTTCTTGGAGTCATCAAAGTTGGTATCTCAGTGAACAAATTGTCAGAAAGATGTAGACAGTCAATATCGCTTCTCAATCCATCAATTTTGGATAAACAATTGTTTTCAAGATAAACATGTCGCAAATCGGGCATACTGCTGAGATTAGGTATCTGAGAAAGCGAACAATTGTTCAATTTTAGCCAGTATAGATGAGTGAGAGACGCTAACTGATTGGTCATATTGGTGATGGACGTATTGTGAACGATAAGGTCTTGCAACCACTGTAGATTTCCCAAAGTATCTGGTACAATGCCTAAAAGAACGATTCAATCAGTAAAAGAGGATGATTTTATTACCGTTGGTGAAAACTATGTTTTTGATGATCAGATATCGAAGTTTTTTTAAGCAGAAGATGCTTTCAGGAATAGTGCTGCCTGTGTCTGTGAGATCGAGTGAATAGACAAAAGTATTCGTGTTGTGCATTGTAGCGATGCTGTGAGATCAGTCATATTCCATTGGATTGATCATAATGCGAAATGGAAAATGATGGAGAACCTCATAGTCATTTGCATACTGATTGCAATCCAGGACCGATTTGCTGTTTCTCGTTTCGATATCTAAAATGAATATGACGATGACAACTATTACTCTGCAATGTGAAGTCAACTTACTTTTATATCCACCAGTAATATGTGATCGCAATGATCCCTTTGGCGCTTCAACATTGCATTTCGTCGTCGAACACCACCAGCATACGACAAGAATTAGAAGAACGATCTTGTGTTGATTCTTTTTTGTGTACTCAAAAAGTGAGTACACTCTAGAATCGGTCAGTGTGTCCGGCCGTCCGTTTACACGATAACTTTTGAAAGAAGAGTCCAATCGCGATGAAATTTTCTACACAGTTCAGTCTTAACAATATCTCGGTCGAGTTCGAAGATGAGAAGAATTGACTGAACCATTCCTGAGTTATTGCAAAAATACTCATTTTTTCCTATGGCTTCCTATGCGAAAATCGACCCATCCCCGCTTTCGTAAAAAACTTTTCCTATCATAGCCAAATAAAACCCCAACTATTATATACCTTTCGATAGAGAATTTCACGAGCTACAAAATGGTATATAAAACATAAAGTAACAAGAAGGCTAACTCACCTATTACAAAGATAATTAAAGGGAAATGGGTTCCGTTTTTGTCCACGCTCTAATTGACTCACAATTCGAGCTCTATCTTCCAATCATAGAGTTGATACTTTGAGGTTTTCTGGAGCGGAGAACTCGAATCCGTACTCCACTTGCCTCGAAATATTATTGGTTGAGCAGTGACCAATAGAAATCAAGCTATAGGAAAAAACGACTTTCTTAGGGTTAATCAAGGCGAAGAGTTCAAATTTGAGCTCTATTCGCCTCCAAGCCCTATTGATGGATCAATAGTCAACAGAAATAAACAGTTTATAGGAAAGGTTTCCCAGTATAATTTTGATATCCACACATTCTAGGATGACTCATCTGTCTAATTCACTTTTTGAAGTACACATAACTCTCGGATTTAAATCCGAAGTTTCCGCATTTATTTTTTATTGTGTCCACTAAATTCTTTCAAATCACTGTCGATATTTACCTTAGCTAAAAGAAATGTGAAGTATTTCAGCGAGTTGAGGTACGTCTGACTGCTTTATGCAATCTTTCCTGTTTTATCTTGATTGAGTGACTGTCTTCATGGCTCTACAACCTGCTCTGATGTGATACACAGTACAGTGATGTGGCCGAATTTACGGATGCATGAAATAAAGTATTGTTCATATCGGGCATTCGAGTTTTTACTTCATTGTACACTAGAATTCTGGAAACCAAAACAATTTGTCGGTTACGGATAGCCGAAATCGTGCATAATTCTGTTGTGGACTACATTTGCAGATAATTTGTTCGGTAGGGCTATACATCGTTCTGGTCACTTGCCCTTTTTTCTAATTTGATGGAACAAGTTTTATCACGTTTGATTAATATTCATTTTGTAATCAGCAACTTTTTTTTTATTCAATAATCTGAAATTGTTTTTTGTCCCATTCTAAATATTCATACATTTCAAGACTCCTATTCTAGAGAAGATGCATGATGTGATTACTTTATTGCAAAAAAATCGAGATCGAATTGATGAGATTTCTTTTTCGAAAGATCCCATTGAACAATGAAAGAGTGTACAAGAAGAATTATTTGAAGCATTTTTAATATTGAATGTGCATATGACCATATAATAACATCGAATCGGGAACAACTAGCATTGCTCACAATGAAAAAGAACTATTTCGTACGTAAAATTTCACTGTTTTCATTCTGATTCTCGAAGAGATAGTAGCTACAATAGAAATGGACTTGCTGTGGAAGTGATAACATATAGTTCGCAACACTTTATTGTGTATCATAACTTTCCTATCAAGGTTTTATCATATCCTGACACAATGCAATTATCTCACACATTCTTTTTTCATGTACAACCTTTGAAAATTATTCGTCAAAACAACAGAAAAGTGTCTATGGTGTGTATTTTATTTACTTTCATCATATAAAATCGAAAGACGATTTTAAGATCTGAGACATTATTCGTGAATCGGTAGTCGAACGCACATCTCTCTACTTACTTGATCGAAAAAGGCATCAGTATTACTTTTATAGGTCTCTCATGTATCTTCTTCAAAAATCTTTTCTTCAGTCCATCTCATATTGAACAATTTCATTTCAGGTATACAATGACAGTTTGAAGAAATGTTCTCAAATAATAATGGAGAAATCTTCAATCAATATATATTTATTAATGTAATCGAGTAAAGTACGCGCTAACTAAATATGAAGAGTAATATTTGGATGAGTTCTCCTGAAGTCCGTTTTAATTGTTTCAATCTCTTGATCGGAGAATGAGTTATTGTTGACATAGAGAGTACTCAATCTGTTCAATTCGAGAATATTTCTAGGCAAATAAAACAGTTTGTTGTAAGACAAGTCCAGATACCAGAGCTTCTGAAGTTTGTTGATTGTGGCCGGAATGAATGAGATAGTTGTATTTCTAAGACTAACATTATTTAGATCGACGAAAGAACTCAGCGTTATGACATGTTTCAAAGGATTATTATCCATAACAAGATCCTTGAGATATCCTGGTGTTGTCAAAATTGGTATTTCAGTGAAGAGGTTGTCCGAAATTGCTGAGGTTGGACATCTCAGAAAGGGAACAATTGTTCAAGGTTAGCCAGTATAAACGAGTGAGAGACGCTAACTAATTGGTCATATTGGTGATGGACGTATTGTGAACGATAAGGTCTTGCAACCACTGTAGATTTGCCAAAGTATCTGGTACAATGCCTAAAAGAAAGATTCAATCAGTATAAGAGGACGACTTTATTACCGTTGGTGAAAACCATGTTTTTGATGATCAGATATCGAAGTTTTTTTAAGCAGAAGATACTTTCAGGAATAGTACTGCCTGTATCTGTAAGCATGAGTGAATTGACAAAAGTATCTGTACGATCCATTCTAGCGATGCTTCTATTTCAATTGTCTGTCATTAAATTTATCATGATACGAAATGGAAAGTGATCGAGAACCTCATAATCATTTGTATACTGTTTGCAACCTAGAAATGGCTTGCTGCCTAAAATACATATTATCATGAGAAATAATATTATACAATATGAAATCAACTTACTTTTGTATCCACCAGTAATATGTGATCGCAATGATCCCTTTGACACCACAACATTACATTCTATCATTGAACACCACCAGTACACAGCGAGAAGTAGGAGAACGATTTTGTATTGATTCATTTTTTTTTTATTGTGCCCACTAAATTCTTTCCAATCACTGTCGATATTTCCTCCTCATTCGCTAATCTTTTCTACATACCATCAAGAATGATGCATGACTTTAATCGAAAATTGACTTAGGATCAGTTTAATCTCCAAACATGTTTTTGTAGTATTCATTCGATATTATTTTGTACGTAAGTGTACATGATATTTACATATTCTCTCCTCTCCTTGGAGTCAACCTGAACTTGGATTAATGCAATGAGAATGCATATAGATCACAATGAATAAAGTATCGATAGATATTTACTTTAGCTAAAAGAAAAATGAAGTATTTCAGCGAGTTGATGTACGTCTGGCTGCTTTATGCAATCTTTCCTGTTTTATCTTGATTGAGTGACTGTCTTCATGGCTCTAAAATCCGTTCTGACACGGCTAGAGTCCTGCAGGATCGAAACTGGAACCAAGCTAATGAATAGTAAGTACAATTCGACGTACAGTAGTATTTCTTTTCTAGGTTTTTACTTGGAACCGAATTCTTTTGTTTGGTTGTATGTTGCGGAAGCCGATGCAATAAATGGCAAAAGTTTAGTAAGGCACTTTTGCTCTGACGCCTATCCTTGATGCCTCATTAGAGTACTTGTTGACCGGCATTTGACGGTGGTCGATCAAAATAATTCCTGATGATACAAAAACAAATATCATATTTGGAAGCAGAACAAAAAACTGAGTCGAATTATGTATATTTCAATTGTTTTTATGACTTTTATTTTCGTTCGAAATTTTACTTCTAGTCCTTCCGAGGGGTGTGTAAAGTAACAGTGCTTTACTAATTAGACATTGAAATTTTACGTTCAAAATAGTCTCATCAGAAAGAGCACACTAAATTACGCATTTGGTGAAGAAATCTTGCAGGTACACCTATAGATACAATAACTTCTTAAAAGAAGGAACGCCTCACCTTTTGTAGACCTATGACTCAATCGGGACACTAATCGGCGTTTATCGATAGTGAAAAACTTAATTATCCACGAGACTTGTATAGGATCTGATAAAGTAAAAAATTCTACATCGAATGTGCCTATTTAAGACGAATATAAGGGTGTGGGTGTGGGTGTCGGTATTTCTCTTCATAACAATCACCCACACACCCTATTTCTTAAAAATTAGTTATGAAAGGATCCATTCAATACAAATATTGTCACGATACGACATATGCTATCAATCAACTCCTCTACATTTATTGTTTGTTCGAATGATCAAGCGTGACATACATAAAGCACATTTCATCTTCTTTTTTCTCTCTTTCATCTCTCATAATGAAGAGTGAATTCGTTTAAAAATAAATCAATTCCATTGACTGTTACTGCCTTCTACCAGTGGTATCAAGTTTTTACATGTTTGAACTCGAATTTGTAACTGGTATCGCTAAATTTCTTTGTCAAATCGAACTCATTATGATTTCAATGTAACAAATCGAGTCTTAGTTAAATGAAACATTGTTCATGAAAACCAACAAGATATTGTGAAAATGCTAAATACTTTATCATGATTGATTTAGTCAAGCAGTGCAATTTTTGTTTACCTTTTCCTTTTTCTTCTATGCATATTAGAGCGAATTCTTACACTGCCAGACTAAAGCTTTTATTTGTATCAGTATATAATAGAAAACTGATAGTCACAATAGCCAGGATTACCTATTGGGTTGCCCTATGACTAGGGTTGAAATTACTCAATCTAACCCGATGATCCATGGGCTAAAAACAAAATTTAGACTTGGATTGAAACCCAGCCATAGATGAATTGACTGGGTTAATCGCGTAACCCATGGATTGACCCAAACGCGATTTCCAACATCACTGACCATGACTTCCACGAAATGCCTGTTAAAATTTTCAGAATATATTACCGTAACGATAATTGAAATACTTCAATTAGTTGTTTATCTAATTACTAAATAGTTTATTGAACTCAATTAAAAGAAATTTAGTCTAGGTTTATGAATAGAATTATGCTTCAATGTTGACTACCGCTATTGTTAAATCGAAAAATTCTTGAAAAAACATGTTGATTTTTTCTAAAAAATAAATAAATTTTTAAAATAATAGCTATATAGTAGATAAATTTACTCATCAAGTTTAGTTGTATTTTACGAAAAACAAATAAATAGTAGAATATCAAACCGACAAGCAAAATAATAACTGCAATAAGATATCCAACATTTGGACTTGATATAACAGGTGCAATAACAAGATAGATAGCAACTAATATCATAAAAATAATTATAGGTATTGGAACCTATATAAAAGCACAAGATATTTTATCGTTTATAATCTATAGAGAAAAGCAAACATACTTTAATAACCCGAAAGGCTTTAGGTTTTGTAAATTTACAGCAAATTGTGGCAACAAATGTTAATCCAAAGAAGACCCAAGCAACGAAGCTGAAAAAATCAATCAAATTCCCGATATTACTTGGAATACAATAGATGATGGTAAGAATAGTCTTAAAAAAATAAAGACAACAAACAAATACTTTCAAATCAATTAATAGATTCATTTAATACTAACTATAAGTATAATACTCGGTAGTGGTGTTAATCGTTGCTTTTGAATACAAGAAAAAATTTCAGGCAAATATCCATAACGTGCACCGACCATAAAATATCGACCAGATGTATAAATTGTTGCATTGGCGCTGCCCAATGCACTAAATGAAATCAGGATAGGTAATAGACGGACAACAGGACCCAATACGGCTTCTCCCCATGTCTGAAAATATTCGTAAAACAAAATATCTAACAAAATTACATATGTGAATGGTTAAATTTGTGCATAGTGCAAAACAGTGTCTATCTATTGATGCATATATTTGCTTCAAGAAAATATACTTTGGCAATCGAATTTTGAAAAAAAAATATATATCGAAATAATCTCTTAATCATCCGTTTACATGTGATTCAAAACCAAGAATATGGATAGAACACTTCTTTCTGAATCAATTGGTCATAAGTTAAACGAACTGATGCTTCAGCATTAAGAACAACTTCTGAATTGGTTAATCCTTTGAATCCCAATTTATTCCTACTAGAGAACGAGGCAAAGTAGACAGCCAGGCAACAAAATCGACTTCTGAAATTTAGATTTAGATTGTGATCAAGATTAAAACTACGATGCTTCTACATTTAAATATGACCTGAGTTCTGATTGAAAGTGAGGATCTCCCACACGCCGACCGTCATAATGTAGAAAAATTATATGAAGATCACAGAAAGTGCTATATAAGAAAAGCTTCTGTTTTTCGTTGTATGATAGGCGTTGTGAAGTGTATTTGCGGAATTACGCCGAAAATTTTTGTTCAAATTTATTATTTAATAGAGCGTGTCATTATCACCTATCTTTAGTCGTTACACAATGATGCGCACTCAAATCGCTATTGAGATACCGCGCCTCAAACATAAATTTCTATGTAGATCTATTCAGAGTGACTTATTTAGTGAATAGTTATCTTTTAGATTTTATTAGGTTTGTAATATACAATATAAGTTCAAATATATAAATGTTTAAACTTCTTTATCAATTGTTTTGTTCTAACAATAACCCATAGATAGTTTCCAATTCTCATAGGGAAATATTGGTAATTGGTGAGCGAATCTCTACAGATGTTAAGTCGTTTTTGGCTTAGGACTATGTTGTTTTGATAAATACTGACGAACGTTGAAAAAATGTAGGATGATTTGGTTTTCCAGGTCCTAACTTTAGAATTTTGACTTAGAGCTTTTCACAACTAATACTCTCAATAAGTCTGGTACATTTGAAAGCTTCAGCTTCCTTTGTTACTTCTGTCATAAGATACAAACACATGGACACACTTTACTTTTTCACACAGCAGAATTTTCAATATGTGTAGCTTAAAACAGAAGCAACAGAAAATACTGAAATCTTCAGAATGAATTAGTTCCATTGAGACTATTCGTTTTGCAAAGATTCGAATCAAAATTCGAAAGTCAACTTTCAACGTAATCTAAGGAGAACTACGGACTTTTGTTAAAAAATTCAGCCAAAAAATCTATTTTTCAGAAACTTGACTAGTAAAAGAGACTAGATAAGCGCAAATAGTTAGCTTCAAATGCGAAGCATAACTGCAGAAAATACTAAGTAATGAGACACATTAATTGAAAAGATTGTTCTTGACTCCCATTTTCTGCCTACTGTGTGAGGGATGAGATAAATATTATTCATTCAGATAACTAGAACGATATTTACCACAGCTACAGCATCAGAACTGAGCAATTCCGCTTTGTTCATCACTGTGAAATAGGATATGTTGGCAAGAAGATATAGAATAATCACTGATGAAAGAGCCACTACAATTGACAACCATAGATTCCTATCAAGTATGTCAAATTTATCAATGAAATAAGTTTAAATGATTCTTTTTTCTTCAAATATAGTTACCTTTTAGGATTTTTAAGTTCTTCAGTTACTGAATTCAAACTTGCCCATCCGCTATAGGCCCAAAGGCCTGAATAGAAAGCAAGTGAAATACTTAATGGATTGTTTGCTGTACCTATTTTAGTGTAAATAAGTATGAAACAAATTATCAATAATTTTACTAAAAAAACCAATTCCAATTACCATCAAAGCCACTTTTTAAAGTTTGAGTGTAACCTAGTCAAAATAAAAGAATTTCTCTAAGAATTTATTTTTCTCTCTTCTATAGATCTTCACAAACCTTGTCCAATGCGTACGAGACCACCTATAGTAATTACTAAAATTGTTACTGTTTTGCATACGACAAAAGCAATATTTAGCCGATTGGCTGCCGTCACACTGATTCCATTTACAGTACCAAGAACTCCTAAATCATGATGTATTTACAAGTGAATGAGAGAAAGAAATAAAAGTGAATCAAGTAACAAACCAACTACAAAGATTGCTAGCATCTTAACCAGTTCTATCGGCGGACCGCAACCTACATTGATTAACTAAAAAGTGAATATAGATGAATATTTTTATCTTTACTGTCCATAATTCCCGATAAAAAATATGTTGAAAATGTTAAAGAAAGAATAGCAACACTTGAAGGTTCAAGAATGAATGTATTCGCCCAATTGAAGACAAAAGCAAGTATATCACCGGTACGAAGATGAACCGATCCGATTCCTAGTTTATAAATCGATTAGTGACAAATTTCCCATGAAAAAACAAATGTGCACAACAGCGTTACAACGCCAAGTTTTCGAAAAAGAAAACTCTATTTCTTCGTTTGAATGCATCATCTTTTATCTCGACGCGTTGTTTTTTTCAATTTGAAACGTTATTTAAAAACATCATTCGAATGTATTTATTTCGTGATATGAAACTCAGAAGTATATATTACCTAAATAGGACTACTCTCAAGATAAACATATGATTACAGTACACAGCAGAATGTATTTGAATATAAAAGAAAAGAAAAAAATAATTGTGATATAAAAAAACGTGATTGATGTAAATGAATAAAATGAATTTACCGTGATTAAAAAGAATCTCTTGAGTAAGCTAGAAAAATACTTCTGGATAATATGATACTGAGATAACAACTTTGTTAAATTACTAAAATTTTACTTCAACTCTGTATATCATTACAGTTGTCTTGTGCAAGTCGCCGAAGAATATTAGTTGCTTTATTCTCAGTAAAAGCTCGAGAATTTTTTCCTAATAAAATCTTCATTTAACAAATACTCCACTCTAACAAGCATAGTTTTTCGTTCTCTTCAAACATAATAATACGAGTAATACCGAGAGTAACCATTTTTTATTTTTTTATTGTTCTTTTTATTTCTTTTTCTTTTATATCTGTAACTTGGTTGTATTCTTTCAACAATAAAATCAACTCATTTAAAGAGTATGCATCCATTTCTCTTCTCTTATTATGTCTCCTACCTTTACTTGACGAATTTATGAAACTTACAATGAGTTTGAGTCGAAAAAAAAGACATATGACATAGTTTCATTGGATAAATATTTTACAGAAATCAATGTTTTATATCTATTTCTATATTCAAAAGTTCATTGGACGTACATATACATTTGTGAACCCAAAAAGAAAAACAGTTACTTTAATAAACAGAAAGTATTAGGAGAAAATTTATTTAGTGGAAATAAACTGTTAAGCAATATGTATTATTGGTTAAAAATATCATATCTTCTTCTTCCTTGATGAAATTCTTATGAATTGAAAAATCTGATCAGATTCATGATTATATGAATGGCTTCGATTCACATTTTATGAAGTTAACAAAAGTCATCTTGTCGTTTTCTTATCTTGAGAAAGTCTTTTTCTATTCGTTTATTTATATTAATTATTTTATCTTGTTTACATCATTTCTATAGAACATATCTTAGTAGCTTCTTTCCTCAAAGTTCTAAATATTTTAGAAAAGATATATCATAGTCAATATTGCAAAAGTCGTGGTGTATTGAACACACTCAAGCGATCCATTATGGTATAACAAAATGTTAACAAGGATTTTGTAGACAAAAAGAACGTATTAAAAATTGATAAAACGTATAGTCTAGCACATATTCCTTAAAAAAAAAACCTGTTTTTGTTTTTTTGTTAATAAAAGAAGACGCATTCAAACCAAGTTTTCTACAATTTTTTTTTTCATGGGTTCACAATAAAGTGCTTTTAACAATTCCAAGATCACCTTCTCTCATATAGACCAATTCAGAACCACTTAGCGGTATAACTGTGCCTATTTCTGCATAGCATAATGCACCTATAATAAATATGTGTATTTAATGACAAAAAAAATAGCTCTTTGAACTCATAATCTTGCCTAGCATAGACACGACACCACATAATACCCATATTACTAAACATAATCCGACTGATTGTGTCTGTATTAGAACACCTTTTGGAGAAACAAATATTCCCGAACCTGACATAGAAAATGTTTCAAACAAAAATAGACTGAAATTAGCATATCCTACTCACCAATGATCATGCCAAGTATAAATGAGATTCCGGAAAATAAACCAAGATGTCGTTTAAGGGTTTTCTTTTCGTTAAACAATACTTCATTTTTGCCTGAGTTAACGTCTTCAATTGGTCTACTAGTTGAATTTGTTCTTCGTTCTTTAATAGATGTTAAATCTGCATGAGCATTAGGAGAAGTAAGTTCGACACGATTTGTCTAAAGGTAAAAGAGACAAAAAAAGAAAACAAAAACAACGCTTTTTTGAATCATGGCTTCTACAACGTCTTTATAATTACCGGAACAAACATATCGTTGCTATTATTGACTATTTCTATGCGTATTATTCCTCAAATATAACCGGGATTCGAAGTCAGTTCTTCTTTAAATCTACTTTATAAATATCCAGGTAAGCAATAAAGATAAGAAGAAATATTCTTGCTTTGAGTATATAATAAAATCATCCATTAGTTGAAGCTACTTCTTATAGAGCGGAATATGTGAGACATTATTGTTTATTTGCTCTGTTAATCCTTCGAAATTCGACTGTGTGTGAATGTTGAATATTGGTGTCGACCTTCCTTTCACAAAACTCCCATACCCACACTCTATTCCAAAACATGTACACCCATATTCACACCTTTGTCATTTTTCTTTGAATTATCTGTCTTAATGGATATTGTTCATCATATAAAGGGTGTCTTATGATTATCGACGATAAACTGTTAATGATATCTTTCATACTTTTTCTTGACGTAATGCTGAAATTTTTATCACATATATATCTAATTAAGATCTTTTATTTCTGGAAGTTTCAGCTCTCTAATTATAACTAATATCCATTTCAAAAAAAAAAGAGCCCTGAGTATTTTTTTTGAATAACTTGAGAATAGAAACAGCTGACGAGTTGCGGTTTTCATCAGTCTAAAGAAGAGAGATTGGGACATTTTTGTCTCCGATATTGTATAAGAAGAAACTATTTTA